TATGCATTGCCTTAATAGAATATATGTATGATAATTTAAGCTTAAATGCAATATAAATGTTTTTTTCGTGTTTTTTCCTATATTTACTTTCATTGAGTTTTTAAGCACTAAAGCTTAGGGTTCACATGCTCTGATATTAGGTATTGGGTTTGGTTCACATGCAGTCTAAATTATACAAATTTGACCCGTAGTCAAGAGATTGGAATCCAGATTTTTCTGCTATCTGATTATTGGTTTAGCATCTTATTTTTATTTTCATGTTATGAAATTTATCTATTGTGCTTGTTTAATTGCAAAAAAAATATCTGACAAGAAAAAAAAGATTGAGACATGGTGGAGTATCCCAACATGCTTATGTTCACAGGGAGAAAGCTAGACCCCCGCGATTTACTATTGGAGAGACTTATTTAGCTAGTGATGGATCGTCTTCACGGATTCACGTGTCTTCGGCATCCTCTTCCAGGATTCACGTGTCTACTATTGTCCGAGAAACCCCTCAAGCCTTAAAAGCAGTTGCTGCCCCAGATGCCCCAAAGGGTTTCCCAAGAGGCCCCTTAGACCTTTTATTGCTTCCTCTGTATCCAGACCATGCGGCTAGGCACATATGGGACTAAGAGGTAGTATAAAATTTTTAATTACTCTTTTAAACATTTATCTTGTAATATTTTAATTGTCTAATGATGTATTTTTGTTGTTGTAATATTGTGATATGTTAAAGTGTATCAGCCAGGGTAGGAAGGTTGCAAAGCAGACGCATCCTGATGAGCCATGGTTTCATGATTCCATGCAACTAGTTGGGTTGTAGGATTTATGCAGGATTTTCTATGGATATAGTAACCATGGCTTATTGACTGCTTTTGTGGAGTGATAGTATGCAGAGACGTTGTAATTTCATCTTCCGATAGGTGAGATGTCCATAAAACTAGATGATGTCTCATTTCTCTTTCATCTTTCGATCTAAGGAAAATTATTAAACTACTTCATGACCATCAAATTTAAGGCACTAAATATAACAATGACTTAATTGGAAGTTGACCCAAGAAAAGCTCAGCAAGAGTTAGATGATACAAGAGGATATGAGCACCACCTAGTTGTAGCTGTGGATGCTTATGGTGATGATGCATGGGTGGCATACCATAAAGCATGTACATTGAGGTCATATCTCTTAGTTTTGGTCAGCACATCCATTTTGTGGACAAAAGTGCGACCTATGTTGATGTTATCTACCTCAAATATTTTATTGACTTAGAGAGAATCCACGGGTATAATTGGGGGTGGGGATCTCTTGTTTGATGTACCTCTACTCCAACCTAGTTTAGGGTAGTATATGGAAGATTCGATAGTTTTCTGGAAACAACTATCTATTTACGATTTTTTTTCCACCTTTACTAATATTAACATCATAATACATATGCTACATTATTCTGTTACTAATATTTAATCTAAACCATTTTAGGAATATATCCACCAGTATTTTCCATGTCTCTCCAACTGGGAATAAGTGAACGAATACTCAGAGGCCTTGCCACGTCCATGCTCGATTATCCCACTTAGAGGGAATTAAACGACTGAGCCGTTCCGAGTTGTTCTTGACTGCATTGTGCTGGATGATATTAACTAGATGTTGTACGACGATCATAGTGAGACGCCACCCTCGGAGGCGATGACATTGTACTCTGGATGGCTGACATGTGGGGATTGACTTATGTACCCCCATCTACTCGAGTGAGTCCTGCGCCAATTTGGATATACCCAAAGACACCACCGTTGATGCTCTTGCCACCATCCTACAGAGGGATATAGGTCATAGTTAGGGTCAATTTTAATGAACGAACTCCTCAGATAGCCACTCTACATGCCATATTAAGATAGACACGACATGCGTGTCAGTATCGGTAATAGAGGAGAAACATGAGCGTTCGATATACGCAGTAGTGAGATTTTATTTTGTATATTTTGACATTTTTGTATTATGGTTTGTACTTGGATTGATTATGACATGGTGACATTTTGTATTTGACATATGTGTGTGTGTGTGTGTGTGCGCGCGCGCGCGTGTGCGTGTGCGTGTGCATGTGTGTGTGGTTATTCTATTTTGATCTTATCATTGAATGACAATTGTGTATGGTTTATTGCGAGATTGATTTATAATGACTTAAAATCTAAGTTTATTAAAAAAATCAAATTTCATCTAACCTACTGGCAAATAGTGAAATACAATAAGAAAGGGTAAATCTGGAGATTGAAATTCGAATCTATAATACAAAGATTGAAATTCATACAAATTTTGCGAAAAAATAGGATGCCTCAATCATGAAGTGATTTTTTTAAAAATGAGTCAGCTCGAAGATTGAAATTAAAAATACAGGAACAATATCTTGAAGTTTTCATAAGGTGTGTGATCATTACAAAAAGTGTAGTGAACAACACCCTAAATTTATGGTTTTATCCAAAGGAGCTCAATAATATTATAAAATAGATATTTTATCTCATCGAAATTGACATACCATGTATGGTTTTTGAATTTTGCTTTTGGCCAAATCCAATTAAAAAAAAACACGGCTAATAAATTGTTTAGCTTAAGATATATTCATCATCAATATTTTAAATTTTAAAATATTTAAAACTTAAAACATAAATTAATTTTAGTTTTTTAAAATTTCATATTACAAAACTAAACCACTCCTAAACTATGTCTTAATTTCGAATTTCTATTCTATTGAGATAATTGCTTACATTTAATGTCCAATAAAGTTTTGAATATAATTATTGATAAAGTTAAATTCATGAAAAATGAAGAAAAAATGTAGTATTTTTTATTGATAAAGTTAAATATCCTACATACTGTGCAATTCCAATATAACTCTTTTAAAATTAAAATAAAAGAACAAACATTAAAAGCAAAATAAAATATATTTATAAAGAATAAAACAAACAAATAAAATTATAATAATTAAAATAAAAAATAATATACTTTTAGAGACTAAATAAATATTTATTTTGATTTATTTTAAATTACGAGATACATTTATTTTTTCTCCGAACATAACTCTAATATTACAAGTATTAATTTGTTTTGAATTATGCAAAATTATTATTTACATAAATGATAATTTAGTCATAATAATACAAAAATATTAAACCAAACTCAGTTCATAACCTACAGAAAAAATCTATTGCAAAAGCATGACCACTTGTTTATATTTAAAGGATAAAAACTTTTGTTCACTAGATTCTGACAAAAAAAAAAGCGTGAGTTTTAGACAAACCAAAAAAAAATGAATTCTACTAGGGATGGCACGGAACGGGTCCGGGCGGGTTTAATTATATCCACACCCGCATCAGCTTCTTTGTAACACACCCACTCGTCTCCGTTTCCAAACTCAATCAAAGGTAAAAATTTACCGTCTAGACCCGTTCCCAGGGAAAAATGGGTGCACCCGCACCCGTCCCACCCGCAAAAAAAATAATTTTTTAATTGCAATAAAAATTAATAAATTTAATTAAAAAATTAATTATTTTAATAAATTAATTATTTAATTAATAAATAAATATTAATTTAATTATTTTAATTGTAATAAGAGTATTAATAATTTAATTAAAAATATAATTACTAAATGAATATTAAAATAAGTAAAATAAGAAAATTAAACTAAAATGTCTTAGTGTCTTCCTGCACTCGTAATTAAGAATCAGGTTTTCTCCGCACCCGCACCCAATTAAATCAAAATTTTACCGTTAATTTCGGAACGGGTCCAGCGGGTGCAGACGAATTCGTGTTTGTTTGTCATCCCTTAAATTCTACAATAAAGTAGTATTAATAAAATAAATATTCATTTGGTTAAAACATTTCAGTAGATAAATATACATGAACATCATATGCGAAATCGTGATTTCAAATCCGTAAAATCACTTGTTCATTGTAAATTTGAGTCGACAAGTTTTTATTTTTATTTTTAAATTGTGTATTTAGAAAAAACAATACTATAAATGCCATTTATATTTAGACAAATAATAATTTGATTCACATGATTAAATGCTACCTCCACTAATAATGAGATTATTATTAATCATATTTTCTGTCAAACAAATCGTTTCGTTCCGGTTAGATTTGACATCTAAGGTTTCCACACCGTAGCTTGTGTTAGTGTAGTTGTTGTTTTTTTTTTTTTGTATTATGCCCTTCTTTTATTTATATATATTTATTTATTTATTTTAAATAAATATATAAGTTTGAGTTCAAATCCATAACATATTACTTGTTTATCTTTTATAGTGTACTTCTGTGGATAAACTTTAAAAAAAAAAAAAGTTTATGTATATAAAAAAAATAATACTATGAATGCCATTTATATTTAAAGACAATTAATAATAAAGAAAGACAGTTGTACCTAAACAATGAGATGCTAAACTTTTTCAAGTGTGTGACATGTGATGAAGATTGATGATGAGAGAAAGAAAGTGAAATTTATGTAAGCATTCATGTCTGTCTTCCCTAGTCTTTAGCATCATTTGACTCTCAAATTAGAATCTTAACTCAACCACCCAATTTAACAAATCATTGCCAAAACACAACATTAAAAAAAGTGTAAACTTTATTCATTGTTTCTTTATTTCTCCGACTCTTAAACCCATTAATTAATTTCTCACAACATGCACCCCACGTTCAATGAAAATAACTATCACAAACCACTCCATCAAATAATCACATCCAATCTTTTTCTCAAATTCTCTTTCTCCTAAAAAAAACCAAAAATAAAAAAATAAAAAAATTATCCCTTTTTCTGTTTCATTTGGCTTAATCTCCCACTTGGTGTTTTCTTTCTCTCCCTTGCATTGCAAGTAACAAAATTTTTCTATAGGGAGTTAAAAATGGAAGAAACCCCATGTTTTGTTCTTGCTTCATCATTATCATCATCATTTTCCCTTTAGAATTTTTCTTGGAAAATATTTAATAGAAGAAAAGGGAGAAATATTTTTAACAAAATATTGAAAGGAAAATGGTTAGAGCAATTGATCAAGAACAGGAAACTAACAAATCCAAATTATTCTATTTTAAAGGAATGTTTGAGAATACAGGGAGGCATACAAAAAGTTTAAGCATTGAAAGTGCTAGCACATTAGATCCTACTTCAGAAGATGATCCTGTTTCATCAAGAAGTCAAGGATCAAAACCTCTTCAACATGATCCTCTTCCTAACAAGTCAAGAACAATCAAGGAGGAAATTGTAGCCAAAGAAGCCAAAGATAAGCTATTACAAGGTAAATATGTATTATTACTATTATTACTATGTTTAGATCTTTGACGGTATCATCTGCACGCAACTGCAGAGATTAATCTCTCGTAATGATAGAGATTCATTTAAGAGATTGACATCTCTGACGTATATTTCTTCATATGCATGAGTTAGACATCGAACTTGTTAATCAATGTGATGCATTTTATTGGATTTAATTCAGAAATCGAACAGATGAAGGAGAGATTCGCTAAACTACTATTGGGAGAGGATATGTCTGGTGGAGGAAAAGGTGTTTCATCAGCTTTGGCATTGTCAAATGCTTTAACAAATCTTGCTGGTAAGATGTTATATGTTTCTCTCCTTTTGAGATAAGATAAAGTGTTTTCAATATATATTTCTTGAATTTTGATGGAGAAACATTGTGTTTTTCCCTTCCATTTTCAGGAAATGTTTCAAATTATTTAAAGATCTTTTCTGACTGAGAATTAATGCAGCTGCTGTTTTCGGTGAACAAAAGCGTCTCGAGCCAATGGCGACCGAAAGGAAAGCGAGATGGAGAAAAGAAATCGATTGGCTTCTTTCGGTCACTGATTATGTTGTTGAAATGGTTCCAACTCAACAGAAAGGCAAGGATGGTTCAAGCATGGAGGTAAAAAAAATTCCCTCTAATCTACTGTAATATTTGGTTCATCAGTCATTTCTTCTTATATCAGGTATTAACAGTTATCTTTGAATAGATTATGACAACGCGACAACGAACCGATCTTCACATGAATATCCCCGCCTTAAGAAAGCTTGATACAATGCTTATTGTAATATCACAAATCTTCAATTAAATACGATTATTATTTTTTAGTTAAATATATTTTTAGGCTTCTGATTAACTTGAATTTTGCGATGATGAGCAGGATTGTCTGGATAACTTCAAAGACCAAAATGAATTCTATTATGTATCGAAAGATGCGGACGATCCCGATAGGGCAAAAGGTAAAAATGAGGACAAGTGGTGGTTACCAACACCTAAAGTACCTATAGATGGTTTATCCGATGGAGCAAGAAGGTTTTTGCAGTATCAGAAAGATTGTGTGAATCAAGTACTTAAAGCAGCCATGGCTATAAATGCTCAAACTCTATCAGAAATGGAGATTCCCGAAAGCTATATCGAATCCCTACCTAAGGTATGTCAAAAGAATTAGGAAGCGTTTGAATTTATCGGCTGACATAAACTGTTTGCGAGAACTTATGAATTTTGGTTTTCTTTCTTCATTTTATAGAATGGAAGAGCAAGTTTAGGTGACTTGATCTACCGGAGTATTACCGATGAATTCTTCGATCCCGATCAATTCCTAGCGACAGTGGACATGTCATCGGAACACAAAATTCTAGACCTAAAGAATAGAATTGAAGCATCAATAGTGATTTGGAAGAGGAAGATGAACCAAAAAGATACAAAGTCAGCTTGGGGTTCAGCTGTGAGTATCGAGAAAAGGGAACTTTTCGAAGAGAGGGCAGAAACCATCTTACTTCTCTTGAAGCATAGATTTCCAGGGCTTCCACAATCTTCATTAGATATAAGCAAAATCCAATTCAACAGAGTAAGTACATGTTATGACAACGTCTTTATCGGACCGTGTAATCAATTATTGTGTTATTGCTTAAGCTTACTGTTTGACAAGTTAAATTTACTATGACAGGATGTAGGGCAAGCTGTTCTTGAAAGCTATTCAAGAATATTGGAAAGTTTGGCGTTTACAGTACTATCGAGAATAGAAGATGTTCTCCACGCAGATTGCCAAACGGTAAGTCCGTCATCAGGAAGAAGAAACAGTGTAAGAAATCCAGTTCCAAAGCCAGACAAGTGTCCAACACTAAGAGAAGAGGTCGAAAGGAGCAGCAACGCGGAACCACTTTGTTCGATGACACTATCGGATTTCATGGGTTGGAGCGGCGAGCAAGGTGAATCAGACATGAATAAAAAGGATCCCCTTGCTGTTTCAGATGATTTGGACAAAGATGTTGATAGTGGAAAGCTTAACAAACTTCCAACTATAGTGACTGATAAGAAAGTGTCTTACGTTGAGAACATAGGAGGCATAAGAAGTCCAACATCACGCCATTGATTAAGCTAAAAAAACAAAGAAAGGGTTTGTTTATTAATAACTCTAGATCATATCAATTCTTTCTTCTTTTTTGTACATAAAAAGATGAAGATTCAAAATCAAAAAGGGTTTGAAACATTTTGTCATTTATGATGTCCTCCTTGTAAGAGGGATTTGTTGTAGTCTCGCTGATGCAAAATGTGATTCTTTATAAGAATTCACAATATTTCATTGTAACATAAAAAGAAAAAACCAGATACACATAGTCATCCTATGATGGCAGGAGGATTAGTCCTTTATTCCAACATGTAATCAAACACTTAACAATTTTCCTTTCACCTTCCAGCATGTGTAATATCTTCTCGAGTGATGATTCTTGACAATTACTTCCACCAGCAACCAAGAAAACTGATAAAACAGTCAAAAAAAATGTTAGGAGTTTCAATATTAGACCAACAATATTCAATACCCTAAATAGATATTCGAGTTCTAAACATAAAAAATAGAACGACTTAGTTTAATCAAGAATATTTAGTATGTTTGTAAATCAGTCACACAAAACTCATTTCATAACTTCATCACCGAAACGTATCAAAATAGATACATCACAAAATTATGCTGAACTCAACTAGACAAATGCACACATTATTTGTAAAGTTTTGAGGCAAATGAAATTACACTTCTGAAGACAAACCAAATAAAGAATGTAAAAGGTAGATTGAATGTCCTTTAAGAAGAATCATCTTCCAGCTCATATTATTAAGGCTAGCAAGAGGCAACTTGATTGTTGATGTCTAAAAAATGCCAAACCTTTTGGTTATAATAGATTCAGAACATTTAAGAGAATTGTCAATTCATTAATGATGCCCATAGATAGTCATTAAATAAAAAAAGAAACAACACAACCTACCTAAGCAATCATAAATAAAACCGAGTATTCACACAATCTATTACTATGAAAACAATATATATGAATTTACATAAATTCAAACAAGTAAACCATAGATCATATACTTACTTTCAACAAACTGAAATTAAGCTTTCAACATAACGTTGGGCCAGGCACAAGTATAACGAATTGTAAGTTCGATTATCAATAATAGTTTTGTGCACTTTAACTTCTATTGGCTGCATACTATTATCTCTCAAATTATAAAGAATAGCTTCTTCATTTTTAGAATTACACAATACGAACGTATCACCATCCTTAGAAAGAAACAATGGCAAGAACGAAAAATCACTGTCTAATTGAAGACTGTTACAACTAATTTTAAGAAATTGAATCCACGACTCTTCAACCCCAAATTCCTTCATCTGCCATATAACAATATTGGTTTCCTTATAAGAGTAACACAAACAAAGGCATTCCTCCAGCACACATATACCAAAGTTGCTTTTGGAGTAACTAAAGTTTGTATTTTTGACACATATACCAAAGTTGCTTTTGTTCATAAACCACATGCTTTGCAAAATGGCTTTTCTAAGGCACTTCACTATCGATAGCAGCGATTGAGACATGCTATCCATCTCATTTCGGGTTTGTTCATGCAACACTGTACACATTTGAAACCTTCCCTACCAAATCCCTTCTTCCACATTAAAAACCTCAAAATTTCGTCTTCACCAGAATTCAACACCAACAATGGCAAGACCTTTTGCAATTGTTAAAGATATCAATGAGAGCAAGGAGCTTTGGAAGACTGCAGTCAGAATCCATCACAAATGGAGTGTGGTTTCAAAAAATAAGGAACACTTTGAGATGATTGTAGTTAATAGACATGTATTTTTTCTTCAACTTCACTTCATTTGTTTAAGAAGATGTTCGTTGTACCTTTAAGGTATTTTTATGCAACGATCTTCGCTTCACTTCATTTGTTAAAGAACACATTCATTGTATCTTTAACTATATATGTTTTGTCTTCAAGTCACATTATAAAGTTGTTTGTTTTCATCTTTAGTCATCCATGTATTTGCTGCATATTATCATTTTTACATTATGACTGATGCTTAGGTTTTGGAAGCATTTTGTTTGTATGTTTAAGAATTTCGTCTAACATATCTGAATATCCCATTGTTGACATTGCAGGGTTCAGATATTCATGTCAAAGTTCTAACAGTGTTTAAACAAGCATTTGAATCTGTATTATCCGTAAATAACACTTATAACATTGCAAATTTCCAAGTCGTCTTGAATGAACTTTTGTTCAAGCCCTCTGACCACAAATATGTCTTGGTTTTCACTATTGGTACCTCTGTTTGCGATAAAAATAAGCACGACATACCTCCAAAAATCATGAAGTTCACACTGTTTGCTGATATTATATGTGAAAAGTGGAAAAAAGATCTTTTAATAGGTGTGTTTAGACACATATGTTGGACAAATATATTCAATTATGTTATATAATTTTCTATTATAATGTTTGTTTTGTTTACCCAATGGTATGTTGCAAATGTTATTGGGATGGTCACGGAAATTAGTTACACACAATTACAAAGCGGGTCCAAAAAACTACAAATTAATTTGGTCTTGAAAGACTTAGGGTATATTTGGAAAACTACGACACCTTTATAACTTGTATTGTTCTGTCTTTACCCTTTTATTTTGTTGTAACCATCTTCTTTTCTATATTGCAGTAACAACACAGTTCATTACACATTGTGGGAAGATTATGCTTTGCAGTTCAATGAATACATGAAAAATATGAAGGATGGTTCATTACCAACAATTCTCATTTTGCAATTTGAAAAAGTTAAAGAGGAGGGTATAAGATACTTTTATTATTTTTAAAGCTGTGGTTTGAATTCATTAATAACATCACTATTGATTTGTTATTTCATTACCATGTACGAAAATATCCTTTGTGTATTTCGAACACATTCAATGTAACTAAGTTGCACATCAATGAAAACTTACCTGACATTAAGTATTTCCTTAAAAGGTCCTCCTTTCTTGCATTTACTGCATAAAATATATTACTCAATTAACACATCGTTTACATTTCTTTCAATGATGTTGTTCCTTTGATGTATTTTTGAACATGAGACCCCAAAAGTGGAAGCCAATCAAGGAATGTGTCAAAGTTTGACAACACAACCACATAATTGGTGTCAGACTTTAGAAAGTTCTCAACTTACACCTTACGCCAAATTCATGTATAAGATTGTAGTTCTTCCTCTAACTTAGATTATTCAACTTAAAGATGTAACACCTACTCTTCCATGTTCGTTTTAATTGTCTGTTTATTTCTATTCATTTCATATACTCTCGTTTTTCTCATATTTATATTTGAACTTGCCCACAAATCACTAAATGTGTTACCGTAGCAATGACTAACAAACTAATAGCATCCCAAGAGGGTTGGTATTATGAGACATGTCATGAATGTTCAAAGGTTGCTAAGGGACAAAATCCACCTTACATTTGTCGTGCAAGCCATAACATTGAAACTGAAATTTACAGATCATAATTTCATTTACGTTTTTGTTTTAAATTCAGTAATTTACTTTAATATATTGTCCTAATCTACTTGCATAAATAAGTATAAGATTCTGCTTGAAGTGGTGAGTGATGAATGTCGTGCAACGTTTGTATTATGGGACCGTGAGTCTTCACAACTCTTGAACATATCTGCTGATCAAATGCACAATAACTTGATTAAAGTTTATGGTTGATTCTACAATACCCATTTAGGGAAATCACCAAGAATTTCTTAATAGTTTAATTTTTTTTTACCCCTTTCCAATTATGGTGGAGTCACCGACCCTCTTGAATATCCCTTAACACTTGATGGTTTAGTTGGTAAGAAGCTAACATTCAAGGTAAAATGACAACCATCATGGGAAAATACATCAGTTATCTTCATATATCATGATAAAAATGTTGTGAAGCAGCTTTCAGTGTCAATTGCTCCAGAATTGGTATAACTATTTGAACGTTTTTTGTGGTCCTACGTGATGATACAATTTAGTACATAAATAACCTAATTATTACAAGTCTCCATGATAAATTGTGTCAAGCAATAAGTTATTATATTATAGAAATTATATTTGATATACCTTTTCCACAAAACCACATGTGTGGCTGTCTTTAAAATGGGGGCTCCTACTTATATTGAAAGAACATACAAATATGATAATCTACATGTACACTGCAAAATATTATATAATAATTATTTTCTACTTAACACATCACTTCAGCGATATTTTAAACAATATTTTATACACTTTTTTCATACATTTATTACCACACTCATATCAATACAGATTGGTAATGTTAATCTTTGACTTTGTCAACTCAAACTACTATATAATGCCACTATTAAATTACTTTTTCCAAGAAACACCCGATGTACTATTCATAACTCATTTGTAAACACAATTTCCTTACTATTCACCAACTTACAACGCAATGCAACACGTCATGAAGGCTAATACATCATCTGTGTTTCAACTCCTGCAAAACATCAAGGAAAACATGTAAACAAATATATATTGGGTCAACATGTTGATGTTAGAAAAAACTTAGAAGTGCATACATATTATGGTAATGGCCAATACACAATTCTTTTCTCCTTTGTCACATTACTGCCTCCATTACATTTTATACTATGGTATTCCATTGTTTATTCATATTCATGTTTTACTATTTCTTCGGTCACATTTAAATACACATCAAATGGAACAATAAAAAATTAACAACAACAAAACAACTTCATCTCTTGCAAGGAATAAAAAAAAAAGCTTTGTTTGTTTCATAAAAGAAACAACCAACTTCCTTGCAACAAGGAGAATGTTTATCCACAAGAAACTACTTCAAAATATTTCACCCCTAGCTCAAATAGTCGTACTCTTTGAACTACACTACTTTTTATTGATTTTACAAACACAATACATATTGATTCATCTGATCGTCGTCACTACGAAAGAAACACGTTTAAAAGGGCAAGAATTCATATACCATCAAGAGTGAATCTTATCAACGTCTTCAATACGGTGATACCTCATCATATCACCTATACTAATGAGCCACAACAGAGGAGTTTACATTCTATGTAACACTCTACTCTACCCATTCGCGTAATAAGTAAAAATACGAAAATAGTTTGCGGAAATTAATCAGAATTACACACATAGGATGTCACATCAACAAAAACATCACCATGAAGTATCAAATCACTTTATAACTTATTTCATTATAAAAATAAATTAATTTATTAAACACGGAAACAAATGAAATGATTCAACATTAAAGCTCATACACATCAAACTTCCACATAATCTGTGGTTCAACAACAGTAAACAAACAAGATACGTAACAAATAACAAATGGCAAATAACATGAAGAAAATAATGAAATGCTCATCCTTCTCGTGTTACGTATCAGAGCGACTCTTAAGACTCGAACAATAACAACACATGCTCCAAACACTACTCAGATGCTTGATCTAAATATTAGTCATACATTTCAAACAAATTCAGTCATACATTTCAAACAAACACATATTAGTCTAAAAAGATCTAAATAATTAAATAGGTGCAAACACTTATAGGATATTCCTTCCAATCATTTACAAGTTCCAGATACACGACAACATTGGCACCTGGTCTCACTTTCTTACATTCATTACTTTTGGGATTGTAACTCTTCCTCTCCTGGGATTGTAACTAATCCACACAAGAAAGTCTGTTTCTTTTGTTTTAAATATTTTCCATTAAAGGGATGCGGGTTTGATTTGGTTTGTTGTGTGTTGGTGTATTTGGTAGTCCAAAAATCAGATTCTATTTAATAATAAGATAGGGGATTCTAAGGTAATTGTCGATATGATCATTATTTTTTCATGGTGGTGGTTGTTCTTTAAAAGGGTTAGACCTTCTTATAATTACTATGAGTGATTTAAAAATCTTACCAACTTTCTGTTGGTTGGTGTTAGATTGATTTAAAGATTATTCTCTTGTAATCGGGTTTGAGTATCCTAATACTTCGTCTGAAATATATTTGCTTATAAAAAACAAACACTTTCTCTCTTAATTTGATAAGATAATAGGATTCAAATAATTTATTAAGATAATATGATTCAAATAATTTATTAAGATAATATGATTCAAATAATTTATTATCCTCCCAATTTAAGGACTATTTCATAGTACTTTAATTTTATTTTAAACTTTTTGAAGACAAACCAAATAAAAAATATTCAAGGGTAGATTCAATGTCCTTTAAAGAGAATTTTATTTCATATGATTAACACTAGCAAAAGTCAAACTTGTGAAAAACGCCCACCCTTTTGATTATAATAATAAAAAAAACAAAAAGAGGTTCAATACATTAAATAGTAAAAGACAATCAAGTCAAGACATCTTTTTGAAAGGTGTTGATTTGTGAATATCAACAACCTTGTTTACATTTTTGAAAGAAATACAAAGTTGAACCTGAACATACAGATTGCAACCCTCTATTACTATAAAAACAACAAATCATGGATCATGGATCATGGACCTACTTTCAACAAATCGAAATTAAACTTTCAACATAACTCTGTGCCAAGGTCAAGCATAAAGAGTTGTGAGTTTCATCATCAATAATAGTTTTATGCACTTTAACTTCTATTCTCTGCATACTATTATCTCTCAAATTATAAATAACTGCTTCCTCATTATAAGAACTGCACAATACCAATGTATCACCATCCTTAGAAAGAAACAATGGCAAGAATGAAAAATGATAGTCTAATTGAAGATTATGATAACTAATTTTAAGAAATTGAATCCAAGACTTTTCAACTCCAAATTTCTCCATCTGCCATATAACAATATCAGTCCCCTTGTAAGAATAACACAAACACAGACATTCCTCCAATACACCAATAGTCGGCTCTTCCGGCGGCAGTTCTCCGGGAGGCAACCGATAACAATTGTACATCTCCGTCCCCAGATCGAGCGAAACAATAACAATGTCATCATAAATCATGTCCTTTACATAATAACTCCAATTGAACGAGATGTCCTTGTGAACAGCCAACCAGTTAAATGTGGTATTTGAAAACACACAACCATGCTCATAGTCATATCCCTTATCTATGCGTCTTCCACGTAACTCCAAACCAAGAGGAACAACAGGAAAATTTTGAATATTTCTCCAAACATTATCACCGATAGTAAAAACTCTCACCTCGCTTGTATGTCCATCACGAATGAAGCGTGATGCAACCACTTTAAACGAGCCAGTGGAATCATCCCAACCAAAATTGAAGACGAAACTATATAACTCACGAAAATACCCAATTTTTTGAGATATTTTTCTAGTAGCCGGATTCCATAATCGCAACCAATACTCATGGTATTCAGTAAAAGTATTACTGAAATTATGACCAACGAGACAGATCAATCCATTGCAGGAACCAGCAATAGAGGATTCTTTACTGTCCAAAAGGTAATAGGAATCAACTACAAAAGTTGCTGATGGATTATCTAGTAAACGACTTATAGGGTATGGAACCAGACTCCAATCACTGACAAAACTATAATCTCCCTCCGAAGGTTTGAGGTGATTAGTGATTAACGTGAATTGTGGGTTTGGTGATGTTGTTGATCTCTTTAGATGAAGTTTCACAAAAATAGGATCAGAAATGAGAGTGTTCCAAGAATTACTTACACATTTGAATCGGAGAAGAGGTTTAACAGGAAGCAAGGAAATGATCTCAGTGATGAGATCGGCGGAGAAGAACACCGATAATGGAGTCCTTGACATGTTTGATTTTGCATTCATATCTCATTATTCTACTTTATATATAAAAAAAATTTAAGTTATTGAAAAGAAATGTAAGAGAAAGTTAAACTCAATTTAAGAAATTTAAATATTTTATTTAATTATTTTAATAAAAATTTCGAATTTGGATCCTCTTCTTTTTTTTTATATATCATGCAATCTCTCATGTTTCTAATTTAATGGTTCAGAATTTACAATGAATAATTAAATAAAAAAAGTCATTTAATAGGAGAGAGAAATAAATAAGTAATTAAATGACTTTTTTTATTTAATTATTCATTATAAATTCTGAACCGTTAGCTCAGAAACATGAGAGATGCAGAATATATAAAAAAGGAGAGGATCTAAATCCGATAACCTAATCTTTTCTAAATCTTTATATCTGCTTTTTCCTTAAACCCATTTACCTTTTTTTTTTCCTCTTTATTTAAAAGGTATATTAAATTTTTTAACAAAATTTACATTTTTTTAAGTTATTTTTATTTTTTAATAATATATTTTTATTTTATATTTTTAGAATTTATTTGGTATGCAATAAGAATATTAAAATGTTTTATATAGTGGATAAATTGTAACTCTCAGAACTTAAATATTGTTCGACTTTTATTTTTGTTACCACAAAAATAATAATATGCATTGTTATGATAAATTGGTTGTGTAAATTTTTTTAGAATGACTATGCATAACAGTTAGACTAATATGTTTTAACAACAAAATAAAAATTATATGTTTTATTGTTTTTTGACTCCTCTTTCTTTTTCTTAACAATATATTATTTATAAAAGTTTTAAAGTTATTGAAAAGAATTTTGAATATATAAAAAATGTTAAATTATTGATTTTTTTTAATTCATAGTTTCTTTAAGATAAAATAATATTCAAGTTTTTAACAAAATAAAACTCTTTTTTTTTTTAATTTTTGACTTAATACATGTTTTAGTTCTTTAACTTAATTTAATATTCTGTTTTAATCGATTAATTAAAAAACGTTACAAGTTAGTTCTTTAACGTCACTTATGTTATCCTATTTGATTTATTCCGTCAATTTTGTATAAAAATGTTAAGTTCTAGTGATGTTGCATGACATAAAAGTCATTGGCACAAATCTGAATCAGTATATGTAATTAAAAACTGATACACTATTTAAACTACAAGGTTCCCAAAAACAAAACCTGACGAAAGAAGCCAAATAAGATAACGAATGTGAAACTACGTTATCCGAACTTAATGTTTTTTTGTCGAAAATTGACGGAAGAGACCAAATAGAATAATAAATGTGAAGTTAAAAGATTAACTTGTAATATTTTATAATTAAATGAGTAAAACATAATATTAAATTAAGTTCTAGAACTTCGCGACTAGTTATACTTTATTTTTTTTTTATCTCTCGGTACTTTTTTCCTAACAATATTTAAAATATAAGTTATTAAAAATAACTTTAAATATATAAAAGTTGTTTTGTTATTGAAATTTTTTTTAGATAAAATTAAGACTAATTTAGTAAATTCTAGTATTTGTTTCATTTTCTACTCATTTAGTAAAATTTAACCTTTCTCTCATTAACTAATTAAGAAATCTAACTTTTTTCACTAACTATATAAACATTACATTTTTCTCTTTTTATTTTATTGATATCCTTTATTTAAAAGTTAGGTAAAAGTTTCTAAAAAAATAAATTCTTTTTATATTGGCTCTCTTTACTTTTTCTTAATAATATATTTTTATACTTTTTTATTATCATTTTTTGAATAGGAAAAATAGTATAAAAACTTTTAACAAAATAAAACCTACGCTTTTTATTTTTTAATTTTTAATTTCCCTACTTTTTTCTTAACAATATCTTTTATATAGAAAAGTTAAACAATTCTGGACAAAAGGTGAAGAGATTGAAGAGGAATTTTTCAAGAAAAGTTAATGCTTTTAGTAAAACAATCTGGATAAATAAATCTTAATTAATTCATAATCACAAATTAAATAACAAGTATGGATTATAAAATAGCTCTTAAAGTATGTTTTAATTTTAATCACAAAGGTGGATAATATCACCGACTCTACGAATTCCACGTTAATTCAAAATAAAATATGGTGCTAGCAGTTTTCTGAGAAAATATTACCATTAACAATATAAAGGAAATATCTTCTCTATTTCTAACGAGCTGCTAAAATTCTAATAGTCTTATTTGGACTTTTCTAAAACAAGGTCAATTTTATTTAATTAAATTATTTTAATTAAATAAAATATTGTTTATATTTGAATAAAATCTATTAATAAAATAAATAATTTTTTTAATTTAATTAAATTAAATAATATTTAATTTAATTAACTATCAATTATAATTTATTTAATTAAATCATATTTAATCAAATAAATTATGTATGCATTAATATATTAATTAATTTACATATTATTAACACATGATTAAATTAAATATTATTTAATTTAATAATTCATTCTACTATCAGCACTATATGCATGTGACTTTGTAAGTTCTCGTAACATTGACAATAATATTAAATCACCTATTTAACATTATAAACTGTGAGTGATATTTAGCAACACATCACTACTACTCAATTGATGAGAATGTCATGCGATATGAGTTAAACTTAGGTCCCGATGATGGTGTTGATTGGACGACAATTCTCCCTAATGCTACAATAGAGCAACCTTCAAGATTGAATGATATTTTTGATAATGAAAGTTGTAATTCGGGTGTGCTTCATACTCCACCTGATAGTGATGTAGAAGATGATATAGAAAAGTTTCTAACTTTTAAGAAATCTACAAAAATTGAAGTAGGGATGATGTTCAAGGATAAATTGTAAATCAAAGATGAGGAGAAAATAAGAAGAATCTTGTGTTCTGGAAAAATGAGAAGAAAATAATGGTTTTAAAATGTATGAAAGGTTATCCATTTTATATTAGGTTTAACATGAGGACTACCAACCAATTTTCGCAACTTGTTAGCTTCACTAATCGACATAATTGTCATAGAAAAACCATGAATAGACAAACGAAAATTGATTGGTTAGCTTGCAAATTTATGTATACACTAAGACTCACTTCTGAAATGAAAACTAAAAAGGGCTGATTGCAGAAGAAATTGAAAAATAAGGGGGGGTGGGGGTTTAAGTTGTCAAAGGATCATGCTTATAGAGTAAAAAAATTCAATAAAGTGTATTCAAGGTCTTGGTGGTGAACAATTCAAACATATTAGGAGTTATGTTGAGGAATTGTTAAAGTCAACTCTAAACTCCACAACTAAAATTCAATGCGATGATTCAGTTGATGGTCATGTTTTTGAAAGAATATATTTATGCTTAGAAGCATGTAAGGTAGAGTATTCAACCACGTGTAGGCCTCTAATTTTATTAGATGTTTGTTTTTTGAAAAGGGACTTTGGAGGTTAGTTAATATGTGTTATTGGTAAATATGGAAATAACAATACGATACATGTAGCTTATGTCGTTGTGGAAGCTAAAACAAAAGACTCGTGGTAATGGTTTCTTATGTTATTACTCGATGACTTAAAATTCATTTAATACAATGTTTATGGATTTATATCAAATCAACAAAAGATAAATTTTACCATTATCTTATGTCTTTAATCATATTAACATTAGCTTATGGTAAATTACTTCAGGGCTTGGTACTGACTATTCTAGAGTCAAGTCAACATGTTGAACATAAATTATGTGTTAAACTTTTTCACTTCTTTTCTTCTTTTTCACTTTTTTCTTTTCTGTTTTTTTTCTTTTTCACTTTTTTTCTTCTTTTTCAAACTTTTTCTTTTTCTCAACCTCTTAGCAACCAACATTTTCCTCCCAACTTGAATACAACCACACATGCAATGTGAATGCTCCCAACTTATTAGGCAAGGGGAAAAACTCAAATAACAAGTCATGTTTATGGTTCAAGAAAAAATATTAGAATCCATACAAAAATGAACTTAACATCAACATGGATTCTAACAAAGGCTCAAAGGGGGTAAGAAAATTCTCACTCACTCACAAAAATGAACTTAACACCAACATAGATCCACCTTCCATTCCATATCATCACTATCATCCCGCCTGTTGTTGAAAGTAGATCGTTTGTTAAAAAAGATCGGTCAAATCTCAACAAATTCACATGTATTTCACATTGTCCAGAAAAATGTTATCAAGTTTTGCAACCAACAATCTCTCGTCTTGCACCCTGAAGAACCTAACGAAACGTATCTTTTATCCCTTACATCTCTCTTTGTCGGAATGATAACCTCATCAATTCTCTATATGATTTAAAAACTTCGTAAATATCTCTAGCTCTCATCTTTTTCGGAAAAGAGGTGAAGAAAAAAGAGGTGACACTCTAATCTTTCTCCCCCTTTAAATGAACATCCCTAGTTCCCATTTTTTATTACGTTTCTGTCTGACTTGAGACCAACTATCTTCACCTCCGATCATAAGTTCACTTGTCAATGACAAAAGCAACAACTATATTAATTTATTGATTAATGGATAGTATATGAGTCATTAAATTAATATACTAATTAATGCATAGTATAAGAGTAATTAAATAAATAAGAAATATCCACAACATTTATGTCAAAATAATCGGAGTGATAATTAACTATTATTTGACAAAATATTACGTTTAAGAATGCGCTTCTACGCACATAGCAGGGTAGTGGACTTATTGCGGCGTGAAACTGTTTATTTTCGTCGTAAGTCGCATGAAATGATTCAACACAATAGAAATACACTACTTGTTAGTTTGTCACTTTGCAAGCTCTAAGAACAGTTTTATATGAATTATAATTATAATGAATATATTAAAGGAAGCAAACTACCAATTAAATCTCTAATTAAAAAGCCAATTTATTATTATTTATCAATAATTTATTTGGAGTTCCTAGAGAACTTGGAAACAGTATGTTAATATCAAATACATATCAATAGAAATCATATCACAAGTAACAATTTCATAATTTGTTGATTTCATGCGCCACATGTGTATCG